AATTAAATGTTCAATTAAGAAAGTTGTTATTGTTTTTCTCAATGTATAAGTGTTAATGTCATATTGATCTCATCATGTATTGGATATAAAAAATCGGATTTCCTTCAAATAATTGAGAGAAAAAAATAGCTTCTTGGATGTAACAATATATTTATTAAAGTCTTTTATATGTATGTATTTTGATGTTCTTTATTTTAGTTTGGTTTGAAACTGTCTCTAACTCTTATAACCTCAATAAACTGTATAAACTGTAAACTCAAACATTAACACTATGTCACATGAAATTGAATATTTGCATCAGTTTTCAGCGTACTTTCAAAGTTGTACCAAAAGCGTTTCAGTATTTTGCAAAATCTTACACGGAAAATATAAAATGAAAAGACGTTTTTATTTTGGCCTGGCGAAAATATTTCATATGTTTTACTACGAAGTTCAAAATCTATTTTTGTAATTTTATGTATGTAACATTATGAAATTTAATGCGAATTTAAGATCAGCATACTGTAAGTCGACCTAGATTCATGTAGATCGAGTGAGGACATGCGGTGTCATATTTGACAGCCAGGGTGCATTTCATTACACTATACTCGTAAATGTTGATATTGTAATAAACTTTAATTCTTCCTTGTCCTCTAACTTTAACACAGACAATACAGAAAATATATATGATCTGCAACTTTATAAGTAGGAAAATGCATGTATATTATATATAAAACAGAGAAAAACGTATCTACTTAGTTTAAACATTACATTATTTCATCTCAAAGTTGAATAAAGTATGTAGATTATTTAAACCACTTCTTGGAACTAACTAGCACCTGGTGTCAGTCGTGACTCCAGGAGGGTTCGAGGGGCAATAAGTAAAAATTGTTGTCTTGATTTTTATATTCAAAATTGTTAATCTAATCGTGCAGAATTATAACGATAATGTGGTTTTTCCACATTTAAATGGATCCTAGGGGATAAACGATATTAAACAAAGAAAACTGCAATGTTCGAGAAATAATTTTATAACTATAGTCAGGCGGTCTGACTAAGTCTAGTCTAGCTTGTATCGGGGTATTTTGTGATCGAAAACTTTAAAGTCAAACTTATTATTGGAGAAATATTGATACAGTATAATAAGTATATTTTACTTGTTTTCCAAACTATTCTTTCTTTTTTGAAAGTTTTATTACTGTTTCTGTACAAATAATCGAATAAATAATTAAATGTTTAATCTAAACTTATTTTAAGTAATTTCTTTCAACTCCATATTTACGGTTTATTTTTGTTGTCTGATATATGAAGCAATCAGGGGTAAACTGTAGACTAAAGTCTTGAAAAATCAAGACACTTAAATTGTGAAAAATTTAACAATGAAAAATAACCGCCTTTAAAATTTGTCTCTGGAATCGTGTATATTTCTTCCAGACTTTAAGCCGCTTCTTCAATTCAACAAATGTCCTGGAAAGCCATGTAGCTGTATCGCTCTACATAACTTAGATAACGATTCGTTCACCATATCTAAACTGTTATCAAACATTTTGGAAACATGCACCATTTTATCAGCTAACTTTACTCTGTATCCAGATAGTGTTTACCTCGGAAGATCGATATGTTAAATATACTCTTGAAATACATTTCACACCATCAATGTCATAATAACTAAATTCACAGAAATGGTGCATCTTTATTTAAACAAGAACCGGTTGAACCGGCTGATGCTCCCCGAATAGGTTTTGGACACAGTGAAGTATACCTCTTGTAGTGTCAGAGTTATGTCACAGACAAAGTTCAAAGTGTTAAAATGAACAAAGGGCAATAACTCCAAAATTAAGCAAGGCGAAGTTATGGTTCTTTTGCACTGCACTTCTATTTAATGAGATCTATCTACCTACAAAGTTTCATGTTGATACCTGTAATGTCCTCTTATAGTTTTAAAGTTATGTCCTGGACAAAGTTCAAAGTGTAAAAATGAACAAAGGGCAATAACTTTATAATTATACAAGACAAAGTTATGGTTCTTTTGCACTACACTTCTACTCAATGAGATCTATCTACCTACAAAGTTTCATGTTGATATCTCTTATAGTATTAGAGTTATGTCCTGGACAAAGTTCAAAGTGTAAAAATGAACAAAGGGCAATAACTCCAAAATTAGGCAAGACAGAGTTATAGTTCTTTTTAACTACACTTTTAACCAATAAGATCTATCTTCATACAAAGTTTCATGGTGATATCTCTTATACTTTTAGAGTTATGACCCGGACAAAGTTCAAAGTGTAAAAATTAACAAAGGGCAATTATACCAAAATTGAGCAAGACAGAGTTATGGTTCTTTTGCACTGCACTTTTACTCAATGAGATCTATCTACCTACAAAGTTTCATGTTGATACCTCTTGTTGTTTCAAAGTTATGTCCGGGACAAGAATATCGGACGGACGGACAAAGCGGCGACTATATGCTCACCCTTTGGGGAGCATAAAGAAAGAAATATCCCACTTAAAACGGTGATGATATATTCTTATATATTCACCGGACCCTATTGCTAGCGTATACAAATAATCGTTTTCCTGGTTGTTTTAAACACAGTCATGTCATTGACAATGAAGTGGTTGAGTCATTTACTAACATTAGTAGTTTAGTGTCTTATTATTTAACTATCATCAGAGTATATGTTCCTGCTTCTGCTGAAATTTAATTCTTAGTCTCTTGAATTTGTGTAATGGATTTGCCCTGCTTTGAATTTAGACCAGTCCATTCAAAGTTTAAGGGATTCCCATATTAAAATTTTTAAAAAATACTTCAGCTACAAACAGTATAAAACCTGGCTTTATACTGGTGAAAAAGGCTAATAAATTTTTATTCCGCCTTTCTATAACAACGCTTCAAATCTCAACTCAAATTTAAGTTAAAGACACATTATGCCCCAGAAACGAATACATGTTTACTTCTTTAGAAAGGGGAAATGTAAGTTTTATAACATTTAAATAATGGTTTTAAAGCATGTTAGATGCTTGTTACTTGAAGAAAGTAGTACAAAATGCAAAATAATTTGTCACAAAAGTAGTAAAATGTAAACAAAATAGTATTTTGACTTCTTTACAAAATAGTAAATCACTTTAATTGTACTTATTGCCAATAAGCGACAGAAGAGCAAGATGGTTTCAAGTAATTGGTAAATGAGTAACTTTCTGGAAACTATGAAAGTATAAAAAACTTTTGATAAATAAAAATAAAAGCATTTCTGGAGCATAATGGATCTTTAAAGCTTTCAGAGATTTTTGTTTCTTTATTCAATCTCTCCGTTTCAAGTTTATCCTGATTTTAATACTTTAAAATGTATGAAATCGAAACAAAATAAAATTATTTCACAAGTGAAATATGTCTTCTGCTTGAAAATCGTGAATATACAAAAAATAATATTCATGAATAGTTTATATTCTCTTAATAGCTTCAAAGAAGAGCAGACGAGAATTCCTGAAATGAAATGAGTTAATTCTCCGAGGCAGTTTTGTCAATTTCGATTATGAGATTTCCCTGCAAGGAGTACGGAGGAAGAAAAGACGACATTCTACCACCTCGGTACAAATAACAGACGAGGGAAAACGTAAATTATCACTTGAATGGGCATATGACTGCCATTACATTATCACATAAAGCAATTAATATAATTTTCTTTCCTAAAAAAATCCTTTATTAGAATGATTTTAACGAGGTTCATGTGACGAGATGTGGTCCCAAGAGTTTCATGTTGAAAAGCAACCTCTTAAGGTTATTACCAATAACGGAGAAATCTTTCTGGATATTAATATCCATGGTGAATTAATTTGTCGAATTTGGCAAATTGTATTTGAGCAGTTGCAGAGCACCTAGAAGCCGGAGTTAAGGGATTTCATATTGCATATACATATGTAAAATCAAAATCGGGATCAGCTGGAAAGATTTTCTTTTTCCTGTTAGTTTTAATATTTTGCTGTTAAATGTAAGCATTGAAAATGTCATTTGGCGACTTTCCTGCTTATCTGATGGAGCAACACCAACCGAAGCCCCTTTGTGGATTATCACGATTGGGTACAATGGAAACAACTGGGTTTCTCCGACGACTTTGTATGGAGACTCCCGAGGTGACATGATGAAATCGCCCGAGTTGTTCCGGGTGAAGCTGTATCCAAATAGAATCATAGACTTGTAAACTACTACGGTAACTTCCTCTCATGAATCAGTCCTAACTGGAATCGAATCCACACCGATTTGAAGGTATATACTTTAACCGCTCGGCTACGGAGGATACTATTCTTCATAAATTTAACGACATGTATTCAATTATTTATTTGTAAGAAAAATGACCGTGTCACGAATAAAATTTGGCTCATCATGATACCGAATTAACAAATAATGTACATATTAAATTTTGCTTAATTCATCCTTAATTCTTCAGAATGAAATTTATAGTTAATAGTTGAACCTTACTTTTTTCACCACTCTTTTTTTAACAATGACATTTGTATTTAATAATTGAATTCTTAAGGTTGAACCTTTTTTTTTTGCTATACATAAACTGAAGTTTGACATGATAATCACATAAGAGGAACTTGCATAACAGGGTACCAGATAATATAAAATATTTATTGAAATGAAGAGTAACTGGGAACCAGCTGATGATTAACGCAGTGCATTTTAGTGAAATACTTTTATAAAACCACAGTCATTTCCCTCTTAAACATTTACAATGTGTTATGGCTTGTTACATTGTTATTAAAATATTATGAAATGAATTTACCAATTTAATTTCATACAATCAACTCTGAAGTTTGTATTCATTCAAATTCAATGTAAGAAAAAAATAAAAATAGAAATTTTGAAGAAACTCATTAATAGGATATTGATGTTTAAGGTGACAATCTTTTCCTGTTAAAATGTTTACTATACACAGACTATATACTTGTGAACAGCAATGTTCTATATATTTTAATCAAATGATGAATGTAAACAAAAAGTAAAAACAAACATGAAATTATATCATAGTCATTTTTATTTATTTTTTCATCATATAAATAACAAAACATTCAATTAACACATATATATTTTACATATTAGATGCCCTGAATTTCATATAAATGCTGAGAGAAATTCTCATAATACATAGTAGAACCATTTGGAATCTGATTTTGTTTATCAACTTCAACATATAAATGTGTGAACCTTTAAACCGTTACAGTGCTGGTACCGGCAACGACTTGCTTGTGCTATCGCACTGTCCTAACAGGTTCGATACTGTTGGATGTTTTTTGTAACATTTTCGTATAAATGTATCTTAAGCTTATATTGACAGTTCAGAATTTGAACTCACACATTTCCTTAAAAAAAAACAGCAATGTAAGAGTTAAAACTGTCAGATTTAAATGTAGTATACTCATTGCGTTTGTAATATTAGGAAATAAACAATAATAAAGTTATACAGATTTCTAACGAAGAAAAGGAAAACAAACAGTAATACTCAGACAATAACATTTGTAAAATATATCTTAACAAATATTTGTTTACGACAAAAATGCTGGTCAACATGTTTTTATTAATGATAATTATACATTGTACAATAATAACTAAATGTCGTCTGCTTTTCTAGACGGTGAAAGGATAAAAAAACTACTCAGACAAAAAATCTCCAGCAATTTCCAAATAATAATATTTAAAATGTCATATTTACAAAATAACCATTCTTTGAGTAAAAATATTCTATTTTATTTTGTTGATAACCAAAATGAAACGACAGTGATAGAAAGTTTGGAAGAAAACTATCAAAGAGGAATTTTTTGAGAAAATTATAGTCAGCCTGACATAATATAAAGAAATATAAAACAAAAGATGCTAAAATACCCGGAAATTATATTATTGATTTTTTATTTTCGATCATCTATTTAGATTTAAGTTAAATTATTACGTAGTAAAGTTTTTTTTATGAAATATCTTTTAAAAATTAAAAAACAAATAAATACTAAACATTTTTCTCCGGTCATGATTTCATAGATTATCTTGAAAGGGGAAGGAAATGGGGGAAAACATTCATAGAACAAATAGCTAGATTGTTGTATATAAACTAAGCCCCAAACAAAGTTAAGCAAATGGTTGGAGCAATTATTTGCTTTTATGTTGGACTTAAAATATCGGGGAGATGTCATCTAAATTTTAAGACCTACCGCGTTATCTTTGCATGACGTTTAAAATATTCACGGAGTAATGCGTGACATATATAGTTATAGTGGAGAAATTAAATATAAACTTGGAAACTAAATCTAAATCATTAATCCATTGGGTCAGACGTAAAGATTCATATCAGAACAGCTTATATGTTTTGGATCTCAACTAGAATGAAACAAACGCTACGAATCATCCACTCAAAAACAACTTAACACTACAAAAAGCTTATATTAGTATATAATCTTTCTGCATTGGGTACTTGACTTAATTATTTTCCGTACAAGAACTGGGAAGCAGGTATTATGTATCAAAATAATAGCGTGGCCTAAAACACATGTTGCTTCAAGATTTTTGTTTCATTAAAATGTAATATAATATACTATAAACGATATTTTTTTTAAAAATCCGTGTCTAACAGTACAAAACATTTAAGAAGATGAAAAAAGCCAACATAGTGATAAAAGGTCAATGCTATATAACGCCGTGAATCATACGTTAATACTGTATTAAAGAAGCCAAACGAAATATAATTACCATAAAAAATCTTGCACAATTATTCACGTAATAATTTTACACGCTTATGGCTTTTGGTAACTGCACTGCAAATTCAGCGTTACACCTTAAAACATCTTTAAAGGGAAACCATTTGTTTTGTATTGAAAGGCTTTGTGCGCTAGAAAACAGCTTGAATGAAAACGGAATTAATGATATACGTACATATTATAACACTAGTAAAACACATTTCGAATTTTAAAAGGATTGTTATTATCTTACATATCCTGTAACAATGTCATATTATTCATTTGGTCTTCTCATTTTTGTTTTGATGTTTTCAAATTGCACATTAATGTCTAGTAAAGTTCATGAACAATATCTCTATTTTGTACAAGCAGAAATAGTATGCGTAAAAATTCGCATAATCTTTTAACAATTAAATCAGAGGGAGCTACTCTTTTCAAATAAAATCTAAAATTCATAAAACGACAAAGAAATGATGGGAGGACAGTGTACGCGAAGCGGACACGAAAGATGCATATCATATTATAGTATTTAAAATTCTTTCATAGGTTTTAGCTCAGGTGTCGAATTTCTTTATAATACACAGAGAGAACATGAATAAGTAATGCTGCGTACATAGAAAACACCAGAATAAATTAGACGGTAATCTTTTTGACACTGGGAGCCTTACACGGTAAGTTAATAAGCAACAGATTTTAGAAAATTGGATCGGTTTTGGTGAAGTGTCAACCTATTTTGTAGGTCAGACCACCAATATTTAAGCCGCAACAGCTTTGATATTTCATTAATGGCCAACAGTGTTTATCAATTAGCATTCAATTATTGAATAAAATTAATCTATTGATATAACTAATTACCGTCACCATTTCTTTATCAGACTGAGTGGAAAGTTTGAACTATATCCAGTGATTGTCGAGTATATATTGTTAATTTAACTACAGTACTTTTAACGATATCAATAATGTAAACAAAGAGAGAGACCATTTTCTTTTCATGAAAAATTCAATTAAACATATATATTATTAGAACAGGAAGCTCTAAAATAACCTGTTAACAAACAGATCGTAATAAGGCTTATGACATGTCTCGTAACTGCTTCTTAATGACTGTAAACAATTGAAAATATTCACAAACACGTTCTTCGCAAATAAAAAGAACAACAAAATTTACATATAAATGTGTTCCATACCGCAGATAATTTACATGCACTGATTGAAAACAATGTGTTGAGCTGGAACTTAAAATCTTTTAAAATTTTCTCTGAAAGTATACCACATTCTTGAAAATAAAAACAGACAGATTTGAGTGGTGAAAATCCGCCCGAAAAATGCAATTTAACGCAAACCTAGCAAAAATTAGAAAACGTTCTGTATGCATAATCTTTGGGGAAATGATATATGAAAACGGGAGTAAAAATGTCAGTTAAAAAGCTTCTCAGTGGGTGACGTAGAAATGTTCAAATTGTATAAGAGGCTAAACGTTTTAGGTGAAGTAGTAAGATTCAACACATAATTCATTTATTCTCCTGTGAAAAGAAATGGCGTATGACTTGAAAATACATTGAATACTCCTGATATTTAAACGATAATAGCGTAGCAGCCGATAAGATTATGATAACATGTAAATAGTTCAAAAGAAAGGGTTACAAGAGTAAAAACGGAAGAGGTTAAATTGTAATGTATTAGCACTAAACAGGATTTCTGAACCGTTCTGTAACTGTAAAAAATATACAAACATTGCAGTACACCAGGAAAATCTATTAAAATGTTGTGATGCATTCTGGTTTTTGTTTTGTTTTCAACTGATTATACATAAAGCCCTAATCCCTAATAAGTTTCTTATTTCAGCAGCCTAGATATGCTAAGTAAGTGTGAGATACATTCCAAAGCTGTACGGGATGTAAGATAAGATTGTTTTATGCATAGTTTTATTCTCAAAATGCATCCCTATCTAAATGCACACTGCCACATTTAAAACGTACGTCAGCACGAGTTAAATGCTTATTTTAAATATTGTAGCCGACCACCGTGTCTTTAATCATTATATCCAGCAGTCAAAACATAAAGCAGAACTGGTCTGGAAAAGTTTAACAACGTCTTCAACAGATCTGATTTGGATATACGGGGGGATACGGGGGTAAGCTTTTTTTTCTCCCTGCTACAAGCCATGTATAACCGATGAATGTGATTAGAAGTAGTGATAGCATATGCACAGGATCTTAACTACATAAATCAAAAAGGGCCATGTGCATTTACATGAAATACCGCCAAAATGAGCTATAAAGTTAAAATTTTAATCACTGAACTGTCTTCTTTTTTGTTACAAGAATCATAAAGACGATTATGACTGACGACTGTTTTTATGGCATAACTTTTCATATTTTCTTTATCGAACAGTTTCTTTGTTTACTATAAATATGCAAATACCTCTTGGAGGAGCGTTCTTAAGAATGCAAGATAAAAATGATAGCCCTGTTTGACAGTTTTAGAACAATGTTTTATTTCTTAATCCTCAAGTATACCGATAACATTTGGCAAATTTATAATCATTTCCTATTCGCAGCTGCACGGAGAAAAATTTTATTACCCGTACGAGCAAAATATAAAACCATTCCTCTACCAGTTGACGAAAATCGAAAAACCAGAAGGTAGAAACGGCAATAAAATGTCAGTCAAGGGTAATCCGACCATAAATTGCAACGCTGTAATAATAATCTATCAAGATGTCAATAAAGAGAAATAGTGCTCTATCATCGCTAATTAATCCTTTATACATCTTTATATCACACATCTTTACATCATATGTTCACTTAACAGCGACCTTCCATATACCCTTTACATTTTGATGATGTTAACGAGCGAATAAAACAAATATTAATAATTATAAACGTTATTAAGCCAAGAAGAATTTTGACTTATGGAGGAAAAAATGAATAAAAAACCTTGCCTGATTTAAAACTAATGCTGTCCGATAACAAGAAAATAACTGATAAAAATTGCACAATGAAATATAGAAGTAAACAAAATTTACATGTTAACAAAACTAAATTTTTGATATTAAAATATACTACTCTCTTATAAAATCTAAACTGCGCTAAGAGTTCTAGAGTTAATAATACAAGAAGTGCTAGATAAAACTTCCAGTACAGATAAGATTGTTGTTCGCAAGAAAAATAAGCGAAAGCAAAAGTGTTTTTGCATTAAAACTGCATTTGTACGCAGCTGATCTGGAAGAGTTTGTTAGATAATTTGTATATTTTAGACTCTCTCAACACTTCCATAATTACTCTACCTACATATTGCAAACCATACCAGTTCTTAACTTTTTTTAAAGCGGGTCTGGAATGATTCTACGAAAGTAAACATTTCAAAACATTACGGAATAAACTATATAGCTCACTGAAATGAAAATAGTGATCACCGACAAACAAATGTAGATGGCACGTACACATTCACCGAGTAATACAGAGAGATTAACCGTGCAGAATTAAATAAATTTCTTTTAAAATTGGACAAAAGGGTATCAGTAAGGATACAAAAGAGATAAAGGTTCAAAGATCGTTAATGTAACAACAAAACTATTTCTGTCACATGGATTTGAACAAGGTCCTGCCTGACAGGTCAATCAATTCATAGCGTTTCAAATCAATAAAGATTATGTAGCTATAAAAGAGGGTTGAAATGGATTTATCGATTAAATATATCCAAGAATCAAAAGTTCCGGGCAATTATTGTACAGTGTCAACAGATGACGACGGTTTGTTTCCATTAGATTATAATTACGATAAATGTACACAGATTTTGTGATAAAACCAAATAATTGAGAATAGCCCAAGTGCCCGTGTTGCTTGAATAATCAATATATAAATATGGGATACAGAATTAAGGCAATTAAAACAGTCAAACAGCCGGCAACATAAGCCATCTACACGAAACGTTTAAGAGCAATATTGGCAAACAAAAAAAATGAAGAAAGGTTACGATATAATGATTTAACTTCAAAGAAAAACAATGCATAGAGATATTATGGCATGATGTTTTCCGATCTGAAATATTAGGCTCAATTAGTTTTAAAAACATTTAGAGGAGAGAGAAAAAAATAATTATACCGATAGTTATGAAACAATAAGAGCAAATAGAAAATAAACCGGGGGACATACTGAAAGAAAAATATCTGATATGGCATTGAAGAAAAAAAAAAGAGTGAAATGCGGTGACCTGTGTATAATTTTACAGCTGTCAAATCCATCAATAACTTATTGATTTATGAATCAAGTGACAAATTTTAATGGTTATGTATTCTATTCAGTCTGATTTACAATTGGTTTATTTAGAACGAGTAAATACCGATAAGTGTTTTATGGCCTATCTACCCGTCCCATTCAATTCTACATGAAATTTGGATTTCAAACTTCATTTGAAAAGAATCCCGGTAGAGAAATGACAAGCAAACATTAAACTCAATATTCTTTGTTGATATGAATAATAACTATGTCTGACATTTGAAGAATTAATGGTTGAATTAAACAGTAATCAAAATTTGTAACAAAACTGTTGGCACGACCGACAAAATAAAGAACCTTCCCAATAAAAAATATTCATGACAATAAAAGATATATGAAGTTTACTAGCTAACGAAATTCTGGTATTGTTTATCAATGAATATATCAGAGAAATTACTGATTTCTATTTAGAACATGGGATATTCCAACTCAGATTTCAGTCTACTTTCAGAGAAGATTTCAGAGCACTTTCAGAACCACTCTCTAAAACGAGAAAGTATACAAGAAGGTCCACTCTTTACTTTAGTCAGAATTCTTTGGCATATTTAAATGTACGATTTGGTGATAGAAACAATAAAGTAAACAATTACCACGGATAACAAGACGACAGACAAAATTGGGGCACCTTTGAAATGACGATTTTTTACAAAAATAGTACACAAATAATACTATCAAGATATTCTATAATGCATTTTGTGTTATCATAAAAGCATAAAAGTGCTATCTGCACCTGATAATTGTGCGTATAACACTTGAATTGCTTTTGTAGTCTTACTACACTATGGTACCGCTGTTAGAATCTGTCCGTTTGGATTTCTCGTGACGAAGAGTTCGAGTGTTTTTGACTGGAATCTGTTGATAGTGATACACTGGCACCGTGTACGTTTTCGCATGTTTTCTTTCGTCTCGGCGCACACATAATTTGGTAAAGAAGTTTTGCCAAGACGTGATGGTCTTTTGGGACCAAATCCACATACCGCTGGTTATACCAACAACCAGATTCATAAATACTTTTAACATAAACACTTCAATCTGTGGTGAACTATCACTAGATAAATACCACGAATCTCTGTTTACAAATTCATAAAATAAACATCCAATAACACACATGGCTGGAACTGTATATAACACTGAGAATATTCCAATACGAATCATTAGCACCTCGAGTTTGTCCGTCCGTACACCATCACTCCGAACACGTCGTCGAATATTAAACATTGCAACAATTCCTGCAATAATAAAGCTTGTACCAACAAGGAGATAAACTAATAACGGAGAAATTGCAAAACCAATTAACGTTTTATTATTTTGGTTTCCAACGTAGCATATCCCCGTTAGCTCGTCCGCATCTACATCTCTCATTACAAGTATTAAAATAGTTTTGATTGCTGGCAAAGCCCATGCTGCGAGGTGAAAAAATGTGCTGTGAAGCTGAATAGCTTCATGACCCCACTTAAGTCCCGCCGCAAGGAACCACGTTAAAGTCAAAACTACCCACCATAAGGAACTTGCTGTCCCGAAAAAGTAAAGAAGTAAGAAGACTATGGCACAGTCTGTATTTTCTAAACCTTCTTGGATTAAGATTCTGACTTTGCTATGACTGTCAATATTATCACAAGCAATGGAATCGCGACCCGAAATAAGTCGAATTATAAAAGCAATACTGTAAAAGTTGTAGCACATTGATAGAAAAATAATGGGTCTCTCTGGATACTTAAATCTTTGGGAGTCAATAATGAAAGTTAAAACAGTAAAAAGAGTCGAAACAAAACAAAGTCCTGCCCATATCGACATCCAAATGTCGGCAAAATATTTATCTTTTCCTGAAAATGCCTCATTTACCTCACATTTTAAAGCACATCTTTTTGTCCTGTTAATGTATAAATAATGATCTGGGTGACTGTATTGTGCACAAGGAACTTTTTTCGGCTTAAATATGGTAGAGTCTGTGTGAGATTGTCTTTGGTTGAATTTTGATGATGGGTAACCTATCTTTTCTCGTGTTTTAGCATGAACTTCCTCTTCGACCTCTTCTGGACCTGGCATACACATATGTTTCTGATTATTCTCTGCTGGAAACTGAGAGCAATTTAAAGCATCAGGCCATGGAAAGCCAAAATCTATTAATACTGGTTGGCATTTACTCTTTACCTTTTCACACAATGGTCGGCAAGGTCCGATAGTGGTCTTGACCTTTTCTGTACACATAGGCAAATAAGCCGAACACAAAAAGAATCTCAAATTACTGGAACATCCGTACTGAATGAGAGGTGAAAACGTTTGCAAAGTCAATTCGGCATCTTTGACATTAGTGTTGTTGACTACATTTGGCATACCCGTAACTTTATAACCTAAATCTTTACAAAGGTCCAGTTTAATAACATCACATGACCTGACGATACCAGTTCCTTCCATTCTCCCACTCGTGCACAACGAGCACGAGACAAATAACAACAATAGTGTTATTGTTACACCTGCCGCGGCCATTCTCTTCACTTGTATACTATAAATCAGTCATGAAAAGGCTGTAAAGAACTGCCACTGCAAATCCCACTAAATACAATCACCGTTCCTCTACACATAAACATGGCATTAAGCCAGCTTCAAAATTATCTCCGTTAAATTCCATCCCAGTTTGTTCTTATCCAAATCATTATACATTGTATGTCCGTCGTCCCCATTTCTCTATCTTAAATGAACAACGTTAACTGAAACAATCGTTGTATTACACTCTTTCCTAAAGTTTATATGGAACAACTCCTGTTTATAATGCAAGTATGAAACTAAAGCTTACAACTCTCACAGCGAGGATCATACAGCTAGCGTAGCATTCAAGTATTATCTATCGTAAACCGTGTAAGCTGTATTAAAACAGTCCGACATGTGGTGTATCCCATGTAGAACGGAGTCAACCAATAACAAGCATTAGCGAGTGTCGTCTGCTCCGCCCAGCGTTTTAGCGGGTTAACAGCGCTACTCTATCAATCATGTCAGCGGGTGTCAATCATGAAGAGGTGTCCATTTCAGCCTTCATATCTCTACCACTGCGAGGATTCGGTTGTATAGCGTTCCATTATATACGAATTCAAGCATTCAAGTCATTTGTTTGCCCGAAGTGATCCGAATCTCACCTTTTCTCTCATATTCTATTTTGACTGCAGTTTAGTGTGATTACAATAATAACCAGCTCGCTGTCAGGCGAAGCTTTAACAATGCATTTTGACTACCGTAGGAGAACCGAAAAAGATAAACTTCATTCAATTTAGTAATGCGATCTCTACTCTTTAAAATAATGATAAATGAGACATTGAAATTTAACCAGTGTTGAAGATAACAAGTGTTAAATTAAAACTATTCCTGAGGTAAAATGAAAACATTACGTGAAATCATTACATCCAATGTGCTCCCGCCCATTTTCACCGCAAGTAATATTTTATTGGTAATTTTCAACAATCAATTGTTTGAAATTATAGGTTCGTCTAACAACTACGACTGATTCTTCACGGTTGTAAATATTCGAATTAGATCACGTACTTAAGTTGCCAACCCTCGCGTCTCTTTTATCAAGATTAACGGCAGTAAATTCCACTGAACAAACTGTTAATCAAAGCACTAAATCTCTCCGATAATATCATTTTTGAATCTATGGTCCTTCCAGAAAAAAACAAGTTTGTTGATCTTTCTTCAAGACCGATGTACTTTTTCTAGAAAACAACTGTTCCTTTGCTAAGGGCACGATGATTTACTTACTATAACCGTCCAAATGGTTACCAATTTTTTTATGTTATATATCTAAGGGAAACAACCGCATCGCTATGATCATGAACTGTGTACATAATTACCTTTCTTTTGAAAATGTATGGTATATAAAATGTACATTAAATCTCTTCCACTCGAAGCATGTACGTCGCAGAGAAGGGACAGGGCATCGGTAGACGATTTGAAGAACTTTGGACGGCGTAAAAGAAAATCCTGCGGACCAGCTGCCGGTGTCCTGACTAATGCTGAGGGGAGTGGCCCAGAGTTGGCAGGGGTGACGAGGATTGGTGCTATGATGCGTGAGCCCGAAGTACAGAGTGACGGCTTGAAAGGCAGGCCCTTTGCTTGGCACCAACAGCCCTTTTAAGGGCCACCTCTTCAAATTGTCTCAAGATACTGCTACATTTAAGTTCCCATTGGCGCCGGGCAGTGACCTACTTTGGGCTCAAAATTATCTTTGGCTAATACTCCGTGGAAATTGCATGGAGGTAAATTATCACCACTTCGTGTTTCAAAATTAACCCTTCAAGGGCTGGTGACATGCTCGGGATCCAGCAGCAAAAGCTGCATTGAGTACCTGAAAGGACGGTCCTCATTAAGCATAGATTTCATCAATCAAGAATTAGTTATGGACATCAAACAGTAATGACTTAAAGAAATACCTGTACATTCATCAAGGGTCACTCAAAAGTTCCTTATGTCCCTGTCGTTGAATAAATTTTGAAAACCTTTGAAATTGATTGCATTAAAAAGTTAAAATTTAAAAAAACAATTACAAATTTAAAATTTCTGAACATCATTTTTCTTATCTTGGGTATTAAGTTTTAATGAACGATATCAATTAATCGAAATTTCTTAAAATAACTGCTAACACTTTTTAAATATATTTTCTAACATCTACACCATTTCTAAAAGAGCAATCGTTTAAAGACCCAACTGTACGTAAAGGAGGAAGGACAAAGGCACAATCCCTAAAATTTGATTCCAGTTCCTGCTTATATATAACTCACACAAACAGAAAATGACGTGACAAAAAATTGCAAGCAAGTACATGTGAGCTTGTCACAAAAGCTGCAGGGAGTAGACATACCTCAGCCTGCAAGTAGCGCTAGCGGCGTTTCTATCTTAAAGGGATTGCACCTTGTCCGACAAAAACCCCTTCCTTTTCAAGCGGGCCCCAGGACCAAAATACCAACAAAAAAGAAATGGGAAAACAGCAAACGTACTACTAGTAAACCCCTTTTTACATAAAAAAGAAACCAAAAACAAAAACCCAAAAAACTTTGTGTTTGACGTGTCCCTGAAAAACCCTTTATTTATTTCTTATACACAGCAAAAATAAATCTTTCAGCATCATAAATGAAACAAGTAAAATCATTTTTCGTCTGAAATCACAAAAATGTATCTGGAAAAAAATCAGTTGAGCTGGAGCCCTTTTAAATTTTCAATTCAAGAAAGTGCCCATACTATATCATGAAAGTCACATTGACTTATATTGCCCTTTTAAAAAGGTTCCGTACAAATAATTTTTAAACTAAAATCATTATAGGGGTTCCCCAAAAATAACATGGGGCAGAAGTTTTCCCGGATAAACGGCAATGTGAGATCACATTGTAAAGTCGACTGTGTCCAAAGGAAGTGTCATTGTGTCACTGCTGTTTTATTAATGACCTTCCAAGTTATCCACTGCTAGACTATTTGCAAATAGGAGTGTACTTTATTGCCAGATAATCCACGTTCTCTACAGCAATTGATAACTTGCGACGATCGGAGGGAGACTGACTGACTGAATTCTACCTTACAAGTGCCAAAATCATGTAAACCAATTAACAATAAGTGAATCATCCACAGCCGTATCCTAGAAGAAGAAGAAGTAGTAGACACTTTTTATATTCAAAAATAATGGGAATACCAGTATAACATGTATGTTTGTAACAGAATATCAAATGCCAGTTTTTTTCCAGCTTTTCAGTTTCTATTGCTCACGCTTAACAAAACCTTAAGGGATACTATGAAATATTCTTGAACCCAGATACTGAAACAAATACATGTACAATGTATATGGCAACTGATGATGGTACAACGTAGTTGCAGGATTAATCTACGAATAATCTGTCTTTTCAGACAATCGACCAGTGTCTAAAGTAGCCTACCTTCAAAAGCGGCGCGCCCAGGCGACAGTCATTATGATTCTGAAAACTTGCCCTTTATACATAGCAAGAGGTCACAACCTGAATTTCCAATACAAAACCCCCGTATTCTTATCTACAAGAAGAACCTCTTGAACATCATTCGCACACCTTTGGGATAAACTCAAATAAATTTCTCTTGACAAATAAAGGCAAATAATCTTATAAACAGTTTGATTTATTATATATATGGAGTTATCTTTCTTTAAATACTACAAGGTGATCTCTTGAAGTTTTACAAATCTAGATACTCTGAAAAGGGTTCTAGCTTCGCCTTAGAATTACTATTATGATAAGATACCCTAATGAAGCACGGCAGTAAGCATGCAGACAACTCGTCTCAATAAAACAAATCAAAACATATTTATCAAACAAACCAAAAGTGTATCGACCAAGATTGTATTCAAGATGATTAAAGAATTAAGAGAACCAGGATAGATGGTATGGGAAGGTATATACCCGTTTCTCTTCATATTTCATTTCTATCTTAAGACAAATGCATTCAAAAGCATTCTACTCGTATTTACCCATTATATGTGTACACATTCTGCTCTCTTCTACGACAGAAATGAAACAGGTAGAGATACGGCATATTGCCGTGTCCATCTTGCTCGCCATTTTAGATATCTAAGCCAGTTCCAAGATTCTATGTCATACAACAACAAAACAAAAACAGTGTGCTAGGTTATGCCACACGTCGAATTTTAAGCCTCTTAGTCTGATGGTATGCAACAAAAACATTTTCACTATACATGTATAACTTACATTTAATAAACCCCGTTAATATAGACGAGATGACCATGATTTTCACGATTTTTGGCAGCTAACTCTATTGTCCATGATAAATCAACCTTTTAAATGAAAGAAACTGTGACCTTCTGATAATCATAAAAGCTCTAGTGAGTTCTTCGTCGTTAAAGACCCTAACTCATCCAAATGAATAAATAAAGCCAAATTGATAAAATAACAATTTGTTTGAACAAAGTAAATGTGGTAACATGATTGATAAGGGCAAAACAGAACAAAAACAGGGAAATCATTAGATACTATAGCAGATTCGACAGAAAAAAAACATGATATGTTTTTCAATACCAAGAATATCATAAAAAGGAGACAGTTTCCATATTTTAATTTTAATCTCTGAATTCAAGGCAGGACAACGAGCGGGCAATAATGTTAACATAATTATAAAACCTTGTCAACAAATACAACAATATATTATTGCACCATATTATAATGGTTTTCACAGTACTAAAAACAATTGAATTATACAGCCGAATTTGTCATAAAGAAAAGAAACTTATCATAGAGATGAAAGTTTTGCTGTTGATCTTATCCTCCAAAAGAATAGAATTCGGAACAAAATTACGTTGAGTGTTATATGGCATTCTGGTCGTCATCAAAGAGGATAATTATAATTATTAAATGATTTTTTAAGATGGTATATGGCATCGTTGGATACCCTCGGTTGATTAACATGTAACATAAAATAACATGTTAATGGTTCGGCTGTGGGTATCCGACGATGGGTATATAAAGGCCGAGTAGAGAACGACAAGATCAGAGATCAAATTAATCAAATGGTATAATGTTGCTACACTGTTTCATATATATTTCTAAATCTACACATTCTAAGAGCATCGCACAGACGTCTCTTCTCAACATTTTAACGGAAGATAAAGACAAGACAACAATCCCCTATTTGGGTTTCAGTCATCTTTCACATTACAGAAAATGGATGTACAAAGACTGCAAGCACTACTAATAGGACTAGATCAGACCAACGGTGATCTAAACTTGCACCTATCTACACACACTTCTTCCAAGCGTCCATAGACCAACTGTACCATACAAGATGACTGGAAAACTAGAACTTATCTTCATAAAACGAGATCAAGCCAAGCAAGAACACTATAGATCAGTTGTCATTGAGCATCCTCATCACGAGAATCACCTTGTTTAAAGTCGACCGTGTCCAAGTTAAGTGTCATTGTGCCACTGCTGTTCTATAAACGACCTTTCAAGCTATCCACTTCAAAGACTATTTGGAAACAGGAGTGTACTTTATTGCCAGATAATCCAAGTTCTCTACAGCAAGACGTTGACAACTTGCGACGATCGGAGAGAGAATGGCTAGTGAAATTTCACCTAAAGTTCCAAAATCATATGAGTCACCAAGAAAAGGAACCAGTAACATCCACAGCCATATCCTAGAAGAAGATGTAGAAGAACAAACAAGTAAAATAGCAAATACCAGGTTTCTTCAGTATCCATTGTCAAAACAAAACCTTAAGGGATACTATAAAAATCCTCTAGGACCCGGATATTGAAAAAATACATGTATATGCCAAGACAATCTGTTACAGGATGGGAGTTAAACAACAACTACAAAGTTATTTTATAGCTACGACAACACCCAGGTTATTTATTTTTATGATTTGTTTTAATTTATTTTTTTATTGCTTCTCCCCGAAAGGAGAATTGTATATTGATAATATTTACGCAGAAATTAATTAACCAATTACTAGTAAGGAGGCGTTCCTATAGTCCAGAAATTTATTAATACATTTTTAGGGTATGATTAGTAGAATTTTAAAACCAAAAACAACAATAACAATAATATCAGTTGTAACTGTAAAGGCATATTGTTACAAATTGACCAATGTGTCATAAGTGGCTTTCTTCCAAAAGTGGCGCACCCAAGCCACAGCCATTCTGAAAGCCTGGCCTATATCCATTAGTTCACCAAGTTGTCACAACCTGAATTTCCCATACA